AGGTCTTTTGTCTCCTTAGGTAGGTTTATTCCTAGGTACTTTTTTCTTTTTGTTGCAATGGTAAATGGGAGTGTTTCCTTAATTTCTCTTTCAGATTTTTCATCATTAATGTATAGGAATGCAAGAGATTTCTGTGCATTAATTTTTTATCCAGCTGCTTTCAATGTGCTATTACTGGACTAGACCTTGTTAATGGTAGCCAAACATCTCTGGACTGCCTGTCTTACTAGTCTGTTACAGTCCAGGAAATGATTCATTATTGTTGCTTTTTCCATATTTAGAGTTACACTATTACAATCATTCATATAGAACTATGTGATTGGTTAACTGCTTCAAGTCGCCTAGTCATCATTTTATCAGAGGCTCAGTCATACATTTGGTAATGGAAGAACAACAATTTTGTAAATCAGGCAAAATACAAATGCCAAGAACTTCCATTAGGTGCACCCCAGTATATCCCCAGTCATCTCAGTCAATTCTGTACCTATCCTTATCTTTAAGGGAAATTATATATTGGTTTTATTCATAAGGCACCCAACCCAGTTTCCTAGTGTTATTATGCTGGTTATCCTTAATATGGTTCCCAACTTAAGGGGGACCTTAAACTTAAACGATTATAGCCTGGTGTTAGCCATATAAATCCATCCCACAACTGAGGGAGTTTATATTCCTTGGCTGAAATTTTAATTGTTACTCTGACTGAGCTTGAGTAATTTTAGGAGAAAATTCATATTTATGGTCAGAGTCAGAGTAGGTTTTATTAAGTGGCCAGGTGAGGGGATCCCACCTAGTAACACCAGATCAGTAATGACCTGAACAGAGCTATAATTTCTTTCTTCTAGAATAATTCTCTAAGGTCCTTCCAATTAGAGCCTTGGAGTGGAGAAATCCACCAATGTAACCCAGAAATACTGGATATAGGTAATTGACCATAAACCTAACAATTGGATGAACTTTAACTCTGCATAAGATTGTGATATATAGTTGGTTCATAAGCAAAGGTGTGAGCAATTATCAAAGTAATTGGTATAGAGGCCTGGTCCAGCATCTTGGGTCAGCTCTCTACTTCAGATGTTGTCTTCCTCTTATCCTAGTCTGGTAGTTTCTTCTCTGCTTGAGCATTGTCTTAAGGTGATTTTAAGGTCTGAAGTCCTCTCTATAGGCTGGTTCAGTGCAGGAGCCCTTTCTAAGAGGATATACTAATCCAAGAGTCAACTCTCTTCAGTTTTGCTGTGCACAAGCTACTTAAGAGTACTTGATAAGGGTCCTTCCATCTAGGTTGGAGATAGTCTTTTAAATTATGTCTTTTCCAGTATGTATACTCCCCTGGTTTCAGGTCATGGGGCATCTGATCTTCATCCAAAGATAGATTACTGAGATAAGCTTCAGAAACAAACTTAGAGTGTTTTTTAATAATTCAATTAAACTTTACAATAATATAACATAACAGCAAAGAGCTATGTGTGAAGTCAGTCTTAGGCAGTGAATACAGACCTCAATTAACAAATTTAGAATTTAAAATCCACTGAAATATAATCTTTTTCTCTCTAAAATTACCTTCATTTCTACCAAATACAGCCAAGTTGACTAATTTGTTTGCAAAATAAGTCTGGTTTCAATAAACTTGGTCTAATGACTCATATAATTGATCATACAGGCTTTTTTAACATTTGGCTTTGCTGTAACTTGTCAGAAAGTTCTTACTATGAGTCTTCTTGAAGAGGAAGCATTTTTGCAGGCATAAGTGTAAAACAATAACTGTCTATGAATGACAAAGACTTAAGAAGGCACAGTTAAACACCTGATATGATGTCATTGACAAAGAAACTTGGTTACTGCTGTGACATACAACATTTTAAGATAATAACTAGAATTATGACTGATAACATTTTACCAGGACATACCATAGTTTTAGAAATTCCATATAATTTCTAGAATATCTAGATTAAAAACATTTACCCATACAATATAACCTAAGAAGATTTATTGCCCATTTGACAATGCTTCCCATGTAATTAACATACCAAACAAAACTAATTAGTTTAATATCTTTCTTTGGGATGTTTTAGGGCCCCTTAAAGCATCCCAAAGTTAGCTAGAGGTCAAAGAAACTTCATTAGAATTTGATTTGGGAAGTTTGTCAAAAAATAACAAAAAGGTTTTAAAACACTTGGTCAAATAGGATCATAGGTCATTGTGAAATAATACTTATTCACTTAACCAAAGTGACAATAAAAGATTTCAAAGACAAATACAGAACAAATCACTGAAAAGGTAAAGAAACTTAAAATCTGTTATCAAATGTAGATCGACATTTTAAGAAAACTTTGTACTCTTTACAGAGAGAAAAACCAAATTCAAGTTTTGTACCAACTTACTTTTAAAATTTATTTACTCGATTAAAGTTATTCTAAATTTAGCCAATCCTGACCATGCACAAAACTCTTCTCAAGGTTCCTTTCCCACAAACCTTCCATCACTGTCTGTACCCATATTAGTTTGTCCCTTATTTTCCCCATCTAGAAACAACCAGCTCTAAGACAGAATTACTTTTCCCTTAGTGAAATGCAATTCCATTCCTCATACTTTCCTTTAATGAAAATACACACCCTACTTTCTTGCTACATACTGAAATGTTTCCTTTATTATTTCAAGTAGCTTTAATGACATATTTAAATTAGAATCCTCAACTCTTAAACACCTTAATTTCTAGTGAGAATGAAAAAGTAAGCAATTGGGAACTGTCTTCTACATTAGCATTCTGTAGATTGAAAAACATAAATACCAATAATAACTTCTAAAAACAAATGTGCTTTTTAATAGAAAATGTCTCAGTGTGGCACCAAATACATTTATTAATAATCCTCAATACCTTTAGTTTCTCTGTAAAAGGAAGCCAATGTTCAGTAATTAATGTTTCAGCATCCTATTTTATTTGGGAATGACTTAGCTATTCAATAAACTTCTATCATTTAACTTAACTTAGCACAACTCTAAACTTTTAAGTTACCAAATATCTGGAGAGTTTTTTTTTTTTTGGCGGTACACGGGCATCTCACTGCTGTGGCCTCTCCCATTGCGGAGCACAGGCTCTGGACACGCAGGCTCAGCGGCCATGGCTCACGGGCCCAGCCGCTCTGCAGCATGTGGGATCTTCCTGGACCGGGGTACGAACCCGCATCCCCTGCATCGGCAGGCGGACTCTCAAGCACCACCAGGGAAGCCCTGGAGAGATTATTTTTAAGTAGACATTTTAAAAATATAATTACTCCTAAAGAGTTCACCCAAAAGCTCTTATCTCACTTACACTTAATTTACTTATAAAAGTACTGATAAAAATTTCATCATACCAAGTTATTTTTCTTGCTGACAAGTTTGCAACGGATGTAATAAGATCTTATTTGACTTCTATGAAATCTAGGTATTGATACAATAAAAATATTACACTTAATGTTGATGACTCTAAAGACATATCTATATTAATTAAATCTACAAACTTTAACTTTAATACCAGGTATTATTTTAATACTGAATATTTCCCAGTTCACATGAACACAAAATTCATTCTGGCAAGTTTCCTTTCTGAGAAATTTATATAAGCACTTAACTTACTCTAAGCCAATTAAGTAGAGCTAATACCATCAAAGGTAAAGACATATATGCCAACATAGACATATAGACAGATACAACCAGAGATCTCATTTTAACACTTAGTCATGATTCAAGTATTACAATCTAAAACTCATTAGAGTGCCTCGTTCCTGATCTCTGCCCTGAGCTCCTGTGCTGAAGATCAGTGACTGCAGTGGCTAGTGACCTAACCCTTGTACAGGCAGATGACAAGTGGCAGTTTTAGTTGGCACCCTCCTCTCAGCAGAACTCCTCTCTTGACATCCTGAAACCCAACAAGAATGCAGTGACCTCAGTGACTGGGGTGTGGCCAGGTGGCATTGGGGTCTCCCAGCCTGACTCTCTTCGCCCTCATAGAGCTCTTTCCCAATATCCATGAACAAGGATTTCTCAAGTCGGGATCTTTGTAAGGCACCTGGTCTGAGTGAGCATCTGCCGTGGGGTGGTCCTTAGGCAATACCAGTGGCCCACCTAAACTGAAACTGTGGCAGGAGACAGCCAAGAGTGGGATCAGGATGGAGCACAGTGGTGGAGAGCCCTGTGCTGGGAGTCAGGAGCACGGTTTCTTACTCTAGTTTCTTACTCTAGGATTTGCTGTGGGAACTTATGAAAGTCCCTTCCATCCCTGGGTCTGCTTTTTCATCAATAACATGTGGATATTGGACTGGATACCTATGGCTTAGGTACTGTGCTATGAAGAGGGAGAAGGAGGAAAGAAAAGGGGCACACGAGGAGGTGACACTGATGTAGATGACCTTGTGAAGCTAGGTAACTTCTCTGAGCCTCAGTGCCCTCTTCTGTAAAAAGGAAATTACTAGATAGAGGAGAAAGGAACATAATTACTCAGGATAGAGCCTGCAAAGCAATGCGTGCTGGACTATGCAGGGCCTGATTTCACGGGAAAGCAGGGTTTCAGGACTAAGGGGTCCGGGAGTGTGCCAGGACTTCCAACTGACTGTTGGGGGAAATGGAGAAGGGGGGCATCCTGGAGTCTTGCAGGTGAGATGCCTTGCTGTGACCGGTGGAGGGATCGCTGACACCCCACATGTGAGAAGAGAGGGAGAGTGAACACAGGGAGGCTGCTCCGCTGTCCACTCTTGAGACAGGATTCACACATCAAACCCTACGACAAGCTCACATTTCCCAGCTTTTCTCGCCCAGAATCACTGCCTTTGTTTAGAGGAGGGGATGGGGGAGGAGACAGAGGGCCAGGAGGGAGGGGCCCCGCGGTGCCGCCGCCGCCCCCACCCCCTCCGGTTGTGCGGAGCCCGACTGCCACTCAGCTCTGGCGCCGTGGGCGACGGAGGCGCCGGGTGCCCGAGTGGAGTCCCAGATAGCTGCCATCCCTCTGGACCTGACAGGCTGGCCCTGGATTCTACAGGCATCCCTGGAGCAAGAGGCTGCCCAAGGCGTGGAGCTGGGAGGGCGCTTGGACGGAACCGTTCAGGTGGCTAGGAGCTCTGCCAGCTTTGGTCACCTTGGGTAAGTCTGTACCTCAGTTCGCCTCCGGGTCATCCCCAGTGGGGATGCAGGAAAGGGTTGAAAGAGGCGACTAGAATGCCCCCTTGGGGCAGGGTGTGTGCGAGGGTCCCTGGCAGAGCCAGACCGGGACCAGGGACTTCTAGGAAGCAGGAGCCAGCAGTGCCTCTGGTGGGTGGGCGCAGGGCATGTGTGCACTGCAAGCTGGGGAGAGGGGACCGCGCACCCTGGCTTGTTGCTGGGCTCAGTCCTCCAGACCCACGTCTGCCAGACCAGTCCCAGGTGCAAAATAGGGGCGCTACCTCTTTAAAAGCGTCCGGGCTGAGCCTCTGCCGCACCATGTGATTGCCTGAAAGGCCCGGCTAGGAGCTCTGCGGCGGGAGCCTGGAGGACCGTGAACTGCTGCGCGCGGTGCTGAGAGCCCAGCTCTGCCTGGAGCGGCCTCAAGCCCTGAGTGGCACCAGGTGTCCGGAACTTTGGGCACAGCCTCTGGGACTCCCTGGCCACCAGCAGACAGGATGGTGAGCTCCCTGCATCCTGTTCTGTGGGCACGGGTAGGCAGAGCCAGGCACTGGGGACCCCTGTGGGGTGAGTGTGTGCTGGGAACTGCCTCACACCTGATAAAATAGCCGGTGGAGGAGTGAGTGCTGCTCTTTTATGTTGTCGAATGGATCCGCTGGGACTGATAAGGGGAGGGGACAAAGATCCGGCAGAGAAAGGGTTAGGGTACCCCACCAGCTTGGGCAGGCACTAGATGTGCCAAGTGGGGCACATCTCCAAAGGGCAGCTGGACTTCCAGAGCTGCCTGGGTTCCCCTCCCCTTCCCAGGCAGGCCTTCCCACCCCAGGCTTCCGTGACCACAGGTGCTTGCCTCCTGCCCCTTGGTGCCTGTCTGCTGATGTGCCCAGCCTGTGCCCACCATGCCGCCCTCCATCTCGGCCTTCCAGGCCGCATATATTGGCATCGAGGTGCTCATCGCCCTGGTCTCCGTGCCTGGGAACGTGCTGGTGATCTGGGCAGTGAAGGTGAACCAGGCACTGCGGGATGCCACCTTCTGCTTCATCGTGTCACTGGCAGTGGCTGATGTGGCAGTGGGCGCTCTGGTCATCCCACTTGCCATCCTCATCAACATTGGGCCACAGACCTACTTCCACACCTGCCTCATGGTCGCCTGCCCTGTCCTCATCCTCACTCAGAGCTCCATCTTGGCCCTGCTGGCAATCGCTGTCGACCGCTACCTCCGTGTCAAGATCCCGCTCAGGTGAGTCCAGAGCAGCTGAGGGTACCTGCTGTGCCCCATGCTGGGTGGCTTGAGGGCCATCTAGAGAGGATAAAAGGTAGAGCATAAGACCCCAAGTAAGCTGGATAGTCTCTGGGCCGTTGTGCCCCAGCCCTCACTCTGCCTTCCTCTCCTCTGCCCTGCAGTATCAGGCTGAACTCAGGTTGAAGCAGGAGGGGGCTGGCTGGCTGGAGGAATGTGAACCTGGCAGTGCTCAGGACCCCAGAGCTGAAGCTCTGCTGTTCTCCTGACCCGGCCAGGGAACCTGAGGCTGCCTGTTCAGCCTGGCCTGGGGTGGGGCGGGGGCGGGGAGTGCGGGGTAGACAGTGACAGTTGGGAATGAGCTGATCTCCACCAGTTCGAGGGAAGTGGAAGGGGCAGAGCAGATTGCTAGGGTGGGCTTAGGGTGGCACACCACGGACAGGAGTGCTGCTTCTCTAACCAGAACTGGGAAAGCTTCCTGAGGATACTCTTTCTTGTTCTGCAGATACGCTTGTGCTAGCCAGCTCCCTGCCCCAGGGCTATCCTGTTGAACCCAGACAGTCTGACTACCTCTGCCCAACTCCCACTTATGGGATCTCTGTTGCAGGCAGGAGGAGGCAGGCTCTTAATGTTCCTGTTGTGTTGCAAAACCATGTTGTCTTTCCGGTCACAGCAGAGGTGCTTATGCTATGTCCAGGCAGCACCAGGGTGGGTGACCTAATAGTGGCAGTCCTGTCATGCAAGTGTCCAGTCCACATTGGGGCTCTTTCCCTGGGCCTGCCAGGCCATAATCTTGTCACCAGGCAGTGCCTGGGCCACCAAGTGCCAGCAAATGCCTGGGCACACTGCCAGTGCTGGCCTCACTGGGACATTCTTGTGAGGCGTGCTTGCCCCCTCGTTAAATCTTCTCACCAGCAGATTCCCTTTCTACTACGGAGTTCTAGACGTCTTCAGCACCTGCTGTCCCTGCAGTAGCTTCCATACCTGGGACATGGAGCCTCTGGCCTCACCTGACAACTTGCCCAGGCAGGCCTAGGCACCCATGTTTCTCCTGTTTGCATTACATTTGTACACATTTAAGTTTTCAAAGATTTTATAATGCACCATGGTTTTCCTCTTTTCATCGTGATCCTATAAGGGAGGTGAAGTAGGAGCTGGTAAAGGGGAAACAGATCCAGAGAACCTCCTGAAGCTGATTGGGAGCAGAGCCTTGATTCCACTACTCCCCTTCCTTCCTGATTCCCCCAGTGTCCCAGCCCCCTGATGGCAGTGTTCCTGCCCTGTTTACCTCCTTCACAACCTCCAAGTTTCCCAGGGAAGGTGAGGTGAAGACTGCTGCTCAGGAGAGAAGGGGAGACAGGGAAGGCAGCCCAGAAACCCTGTAAGCTCAGCCGCTGAGGGGCCTTCATGCTGCCATTAGCCCCAGGTTGTGGCTGAGCTATATACCAATGAACCTGATTTCAACCCATTAGCGTGGGCTGGGCCTCTGAGCCTGGTGATTATAACAAAGTGTTGCCACATTAGGAAAGTCATGCAGATACGTGAATATAGGAAGGCTGCTTAAGAAATCTGGTCTACTGAGTGGGTGCCAAGGCAAACCAAAGGCCTGGTCGTGATGTAACAGAGGTCACGGGCCCACAGAATGTGCCCTCCTCATCCTGTGGGGATGGGGATGGCTGTGCTGGCAGAATTGCAGGCTCATTCTTCCGGAAGACAGCTTCTGTTGCTCCTTGCGCCAGCCTTGAAGAACTGGGGGTCTTTAGGAGCTATCGTTGGAGGGCCAAGGCAGAGGTATGCATAGAGGCTAAGAATGCAGGCCTGGGTTCAAATCCTTGCTGTGAATTCCTAGCTGTATGACCTTGAGAAAGTCACTTATTAACCTCCTTCAATTTTAACTTCCACGTCAATAAAAGGAGACATTAATGATAGTACCTTCTTCCTAGGGTGATTGGAAGAATATAATAAACTCCTACATATAAAGCACGTGGTACTGTATAATGCACCTGGCGGTATATGCAAGCCATAAGTGGTACGTTTATTTTGTAGTTTTATTATCATTGTTAACATATGGCTCAAAGTGGGTCTGAATAGGCAAGCCCTGCGCCCTCACCCCCCAACACTGATGCTTTTACATAACAACACATATGCCCTTATACACATGCACGCACACATGGGCACACAAGACATACCACATTTCCAGGGAGGTGTCAAAGTACTGTTAAGTTATATTTATACATGTTTTTCTCCCTTGCTAGACTGTCATGCCTCAAGTGCAGCGACCTGGACAGTGGCCACATTTTGTTCGTTTGTACAAATTCTCCAGAATGCCTAGCATAGTGTCTGGCGCATAGCAGACACTCAGTAAATGTTGATTGAATTGGATGAGTTTTCAGAGCTCACATGGTTGTGCCTCAGGCAGGCCTTCCAGGGGCCTAACCTCTAACCATTGTGCTGTGGCCTGTATCTTCCCAGCATTCTACCTCAGGGCCCTGACCACAGCTGCCCTTATCAGCTCAGGTGGCTCCTTCAGAGCCACACTCCAGTAGTGCCTGAGAGAGGAGTCTTTCTCCTGAGTTAGAGAAAGGCTGCTGGGCCTAGCTTCCAAAGCTGGGATCCTGGAGGCTGGGCTGAGGTGACGGGTCACTCCAGGTGCCCCTGCAGGAGGAACAGCATGCGCTGCTGCCCTCTGGGCAGCTGGAGTCAGCAGGCTGCTGGGTCTGGGAGAACACCTTTCTGCTGGAGGTCCCCAGGTGCCTGGCTCCCTGCCCTGACAAGCCAGTCAGAGGTAGATGTGGCCTGGGAACCAGGGAGCAATACTGCTCAAGCATTGGTGAGGCATGTATGAGGCATTCAGTGACAGGAGTCAGCTGGGCCCCTCACCAAGCAAGGCATGGTTTGGTCAGTCAACCACAAATTTTATTTCCTTCCACTTGGCAGAAAGCCAAGAGGAAAAAAGGTTCACATGGTATAGTGTGATCCAGTTACAAAAAAAAATAGCTTAAATTGTTGACGCATCAATAGCCTGTGGTTATTTACATGTATTTTACAGGTTATTTGCCTGCCACCTCCACATGCTTGGTAATGGATACCCCATTCCCCTCAGCTCCTACTTCTAGGGAATCCCTGGGTTTTCTTGGGGGCACTCTGTGCCAACTTGATACCTACTCCAGGGGGCTTGTTATTGGGAGGAGTGCCACTCCCTGACCACCACAGCCCTCTCTGTGGGAAGGAGACCTGAGCAAGGTCTGTCTGTGACCAGATGGGTTGGTGTGGGGTGAAGGGGTGATGGGTATTTGGGAGTCAGAAATACCTGAGTTTGAACCTTGCTGTTACAAACTAGCTGTGCAACCTTCTTGGTTAGGTTATTCAATCCCTGAGCCTCCTCTTCGCCACCACACCCCCTGCCACCATCTGTTAAATGAAGGGAATGGATTCTGGATTCGAGGTCTCTGAGGTTCCTTGCAGTTCTAACTTTCTATAGTTCTTCCTGACCATGACTCCTGCCAATACTGTGTTGAAATCCTAGGAAGATTGTGTTGTGTTTTTTAGCTCCTAGTGCTTATGAGCTAGGCACAGTGCTATGTGTATATATATATATATATATATATATATATTTTTTTTTTTTTTTTTTTTTTTTTTTTTTTGTCTTTTTCGTGCTTTTGCCTCTTCTGTTGCGGAGCACAGGCTCCGGACGCGCAGGTTCAGCGGCCATGGCTCACGGGCCCAGCCGCTCCGCGGCATGTGGGATCCTCCCGGATCGGGGCACGAATCTGTGTCCCCTGCATTGGCAGGTGGACTCTCAACCACTGTGCCACCAGGGAAGCCCACAGTGCTATATTTTTATAGTTTTATCTCATTTAATGCTCATAGTTTCTTGCTGGTAAAGGTTATTGTTATCCCCATTCTAGACACGTCTATAGATACACTGAGGTCTAAAGCTCAGGAAGGTTCAGTAATTTTCCCAAACATCTTATCAGGAGCCAAGACAGGATTTGAATCCAGGTCTGTCTACCAGAGATGCCTTTAACCGGTGGGCCCATATGTGTTTTGAATTAGCCTCGAGAAGCTATAGGATTTATGGAGCAGTTTCCTCACGGCTGTCAGCGGGGGTGATTTTTCCCCTCTGATTTTTGCCATGGCCTCTGCACTCTGCTCCAGCCCATGCTTGGTGCCTCTCCCTCCCTCCTCACCTTCACTCCAGTGGGCAGTTGAGCCCCTGGCAGCCCTGCCTCTGTCCACAGCTGGAGGCCTTCCCAACTGGGCTGCTGACCAGGGAAGTACAGCAGAGTGTGGGGGAGGCCAGACTGCTGGACCAGAGCTCTGGGAAAGAGATCTGGTAGATTACCATATGTTTGCTTTTAGGCATCAGTTTAGCCCTCTCCCCCGACCCCCCAGCTAGCCTGGGCTTTTCTGGACAACTAAAGTGCCTCCTGTGCTTGCACCGCAGCAGGTGACCATCTGTGGTCTCAGGGTCCCAGAACAGTTGCTCTCTGGTGGTACCACCTGCTTTCAGCAGAGGTAGGCCATCTCTAGCTCCTGTACGGATGGATTAGTCATTGGCCTAGAGTGGCTGAGATAGAAGAGTGATAGCAAGCCCTGATGCCCAACTCCCTCACATTTGGACAAGAGGAAACAGAGGCCTAGAGTTCCAGCATGTTCAAGGTCACTCAGCCACAGGCTCTTTTCTCCTCCTAATTCTGACTCTGGCTCCCCAGCCTTTGATGTAAAGGCTTACCTGCAAGGAACAGAACAGAGAAATTTCAGCCTCCACAGGTTAAGTCAACAAATTAGTGGTGGGCTTAGTGGGGGAAAGTGATGGAAGGATGTCAACTTTGTGATTAAAAAGGTAATTTCTTTGTTTGAACTAGGGATAGCCTTCAGGTGGATTATGCTAAAGAGTGCTCTGGGCAATCCAGATTAGTATCAGTGGTGAAAGCTTCTCCCAGCTGACATTGGAATGAGTCCTTTAGGAGTGCTGCTTGGAAGCAAGGGAATGGCCA